AATATTATACAAGAATTTGTTAATTGGTTTAGATTGCAACTTAATCATAAAGATGCTTTGCAAGGAGGAGCTCCCTGGATTATTCTTCCTGTAGATCTGATAGAAGCACAGCATTGCATATATGCCTAAAATGGCATCTCATTTACCGCATGTCATTCCCACCTGTTTGAATGACGTTCATTTTCCACATGGAGGAAGGTAAGGCCATCCCTGTCCCTGTTAAAATCTATATGAATACAGTTTTCACCTTTATTTCATGTATCAGACAAACTGAAGTGTGACTAGAATGTATTTTCTTTTTTTCAAAAATTACCCTCTTTTTTGGCATGTATTTTTATACTATCACCTCTTGGGAGAGAGCTTGTATAATATACAGTATAATATACATATTATGTGATATATAGCATCTAATATACACAATCTATAGATAACGTTTGTCATTTTTGTGATACATACATGTTATAGAGAAAGGGGGCTCAGCACGGGGAGGGCACATGCTGCCAAGCCTGAGCCCCAAGTTGGGGCTCAGCAGGCGAAGGGCACACGCTGCCAAGCCTGAACCCCGAGTTGGATCCCTGGAACATTCCCACAACCTCATGTAGAAGAGAGAATCAATTTCCCCAACTCCTCTAATGGCCAAAGTGGCATCTTGTCATATACACAATAAATACATCAGTTTTAAAATGGGAAAAATCAAGTCAGATTTGGTGGTGTATGCCTTTAATCCCAGCACTGGGGAGACAGGCGGATCTCTGTGAGTCTGGTCTACAAAGTGAGTTCCAGGATAGCCAGAGCTGTCACACAGAGAAAACTCATTTTGAGAAACCAAATAAATAAATAAACATAATAAAAAATAAAATGGGAAAATTATATATGCATATGTATATATTTATAAATTTACATGTGTACAGAAACTAACTTTGGCTCATGAGATAAGATAGTATAGGAAAAAAAATGTAGGAATCCCACAACTATTCCCCCATTTTCTTGGATAAGTTTCTAAATTAAGAACTTCAGTTTCATTTGCAAAATGGGGCCAGTCATATCTGCTTTTTGGATTATTATGAAGATAAAATTAATATACCATGTAAGCACCTGGACAGATTGTAGAGAATAGAAACTTTGAGCCACTTTATCTGCTTTTCAGTTGTTGATTACATTAGCAGTGCAAAGCAAACCATTCTACTAAGACCAAGAAAAATAATAAGACTGTACTTTTATTCCTAGACTGTGTAAGACAGTCAGATGGAATAAGACTTATCTTACAGAGATAATGATAATATTATTTCTTTTGTTTTCTCAAAAACAACACAGGTATATTCTTTTAAAGTCCATCAAAACTGCTGGGGTTTGACAAATTGTTATCATGAGTGGAGTTGAAATCTTGCTTCAAGATTTTAATAAAAGATTTATTTAACTTTATCTTACGTGTATGCTTGCCTGCATGTATATATGTGCACCTTGTGCATGCCTAGTGTCCTCAGAGGCCAAAAGAAGATGTCAAGTCTACTGTTGCAGACAGTTGGGAGCTGCCATGTAGGTGATGAGAACTGAATCCATGTCCTGTGCAAGAGCAGTAAGTACTCTTAACCTTAGATATGTCTCTCTAGTCCCCCTTTCAAGATTTTGGTATGATCTAAATATTCTTTTTGCCATATAAATATTCAACTCGAAATTATATGAAAATGATTTCAGGGTGAGTATTAATACAACACAAAGTTCAGCTGGACCAGTTCACATCTAACCTACTAAAGATTCCATGGAGAGCAGGCATTGTGGCATCTCCATGTGATGCCCACCATAATTCTTTCCTTCCTTCTACTCATATACTGCTGGTTGCGCCGAGAGGTGGAGCCTAATTACATCACCTGGGCTGATTTTGATGATAAGTGTGACCAATAGAAGGCTGGCAGAGTGGCACTCTGACTCCAAGACCAGGCTATGAGATGTTTCATAACTGTTCTGCTGATAATTTTGGGATATTTACCCTAAAATTACATTTACTGTGAGAAATCCAAACTCAGAGAGAAGCCACATGTGGGGACTTACTTGACAGTTCCAGCTGAGCCCAGTTGGTAGCAATTATTAAATGCCACCCCCATGAGAAGAGTCATTTGGATAAGCAGACCAGCTAGGGCTTCACATGTTTCCAGCCTCAGATGCTAGCACATCAGAAACCCAGCCACCCCATTGAGCCACAGGAAATAATAACAAATTGTTGCTTTAGGCTCCTAAGTTCTTAGATAAATTTATTATGGATAGCAGAATGGTATTTCAAATTAATTACAGAGTGACTTTAGCAAAGCACCTTCACACAGAGATGGGTATCTATTGTATTAAACTTCCAAACATGAAGCAATTTGTGCTCTTCCTGGACCCAAATCCTGCTTTAATTTCAGTTCTATCAGGTTTTTAAAACTATGATGAGTGTATGGTGTGAGATTTGAGGGGGAGAATTGAAATATAGCATTTTAGAACTCTGAGCTTCATATGCATGCATCCATTCATTTAAATATTGATTATGTACATATGCAAAGCAATGTGCCAGGTGCTGTGGGGTAAAGGGATGAGTCAGAAAGCTGTACTAATATTAGCATTTTGGAAGCCCCATCTTTTCTCTCCTGAATACAATCAGACACGATGTTCAAGTTTGCTGCCTGGTTTTCCTAGGGCTTTCTCCTCACTTTTCTTTAGTTTCCTTGTTTCTCTCTCTCTTCCTGTTTCTTTTGTGACCATATTTTTTCAAGATTTTAGTTTAATTGTTTAAACCTTAAGACAAATAACATAAAGTCTAGAATTTTGGTGATTTAAAAAAATGTTTTTGACCAAAGGTTTTTATTTATTTATTTGTATCTTGTAAATATTGTTTTTACCAGTGATGTTTTTGTTCAAATATAGTACAAATAACAAATGGATCATAGAATTTTTATGCATCCTAAATGTTAGAGACGTGATTAACTTCTAATTGTTTCTAAGAATTGTCAGTTGGACTGGAGAGAGGAACCAGAGGTGGAAAGTAAAGACCTGAGCTCAGTTCCCTGTACCCACATCAGCAGCTCACAGTACCTGTAACTCCAGCTCCATAGAGAGTTTCCTCCTCTGGACTCCAGGGCATGTGCACATACATGCCCATGCACATACCCGGCCCCCCAACAAAAAAAAAAAAAAAACCCCACTTGGTTAAAAGTAAAGTAAATCTCTAAAAAAAAAAAGTAACTTATTATTATTATTAATTAAATTCATTCATTTATTTTACATTCTGACTGCAGTTTCTGTTCCCTCCTCTCTGCCCATCCCCCAATCAACTCCTCCTCTGCTTTTGTTCAGAAAGGGGCAGGCCTCCTGTGGGTGTCAACAAAGCATGGCACATCAAGTTGAGGTAAGACTAAGCTCTTCCCCTTCTATTAAGGCTGGGAAGGCAACAGGAGGGATTGTTTTGGGGGGATGGATGGAGGAGGAGAGTAAGAATTTTAACTTAAAGAGCAAGAGCTTTGAAGGAAGAAGTTAACTCTGCCACTCTACACTAATTCTAACAATTATTTTCTTTTGCCCTGGGGTAATTAGAAAAACAATGTAAAGCTGAAGTGCATTATCAATACATCAGTGCATGCTGGTACCAATACCCAAAAGCCTTTGCACTTGTAAGTTTTCATGTAAATAAAAGTTCAACACAGATTTGCTTAGGTTCCACAGATTACTTTTAGAACACTTTTAAAATTATTAAACTTATTTACTCTTTTATAAGTGTTTTCAAAATTTAAAATACTCTTAAAACACAGGCTAACTTTTGTCCACATTTTAAGCACCTGGATGCACATTATTATTAAGATCCTTGGTTATTCCTCATCTGTCTAGAATGGTTCAGTCTCCCTGTATAGTTCTGGTCTTTCCTTTTCTTTCCCAGAGATAAATCTTGTTGCTCTAGCTTGGAGTTAAAGGATTTTAATTTATATTAATTATTTCAGTCCTTTTTTATGACAATTATGAAATGAAATGCAATACATTTCACCTGAATTTCTCAAGTTCCTTCCATCACTTAAGTTTTCTACCTTGGGGTGTCTCCAGATACATTCTTGGGAAGTTGGGGAAAGACACTTGCCTTCAGGTGTAATCACATAGTATTTTATTCATAGATTTAGCTCCCTTTTAGCAGGTCCTGGAATATTTGTATAAACTAAGATTTAAGCAAAAACTTCTCAAATCCTCAATGATGTTGAGACATGTTTATGAAATTTGCCTGGCTGTAGCTCTCTTGAGTGAGTCCATCAGAAAGAGACAGTGTGCACTCTCAGATCCCTTGGTCTCCCCACTTGACACTGATGAACAGTGGCACCCTGATACTTGACATGAAACCTTTCATCCAGTGCATTTAGAGGTGAGCTAAAAATTTGAATAGTAAGTGCTAGAACAGGGATGACAGGTCTTTTAATTAAAAAAAAAAAAAAAGAACATCATAAGACTAAAATATGCTAGCTTTAAAGTTTGAGACAATATAAAATAACAGTATTTGATGGCTGGAATATTGATTTCGCTCTTGCACAGATTTGCTGCACGCATTGCTATAGCTCTTGACAGACATGCTGATTTTCTGTTTAATAGGCATTTGCAGTTAACAGTTAATGACTTGAATATGTTGTCTGACTCTGTTTTGAATTTTTGTTATTATTCTTGGTGTGTATAAAGCTAGTTGTTCATTTTCCTATAGGACATTTTTGAGAGGAAAATTTTTTGATGCTTAGGATAAAAATAAAGAGGAAGATGAATTATTTTAAAAATTCAGAGATGAGTTTTCTTTGTTTCTTCCAAGTACCAAGGGAACCATGTCCAGGACCATTTTCAGCTAAATTTATAGTGTAAGGTCTCTTGGTCCACATAAGTGATGTGAATTTGAGCCATAAATCTGTTCCAGCACTGGTTTGTGATTACAGCTTCTCAGAGACAATTTATCACATTTGTTCTCCTTAACATCAAGACATGTTTCCTTGCAGCCCCTGGGGGTGTGGGGAGGTGGGAGAGACTGCTATTGGGGTTCATTCCCACTGTGTGTAGCCACTCAAGATCCTGGTCATTAGTTGGGAAGCATTTATTGTGACTTAGTTTGAGTTAACTCTGTGCTTTGCTTCTAATCCCCATGGTTTCAGGCTGTGCAAATGAATCCCAGTGTATTGGTTCAGAAGACAGTTTCTGAGGCAAGGGCAGCACCAATCTTCTGCTCTATTTATAGTCTTTTCCCACTTGACTTCTGATTGACACCATTTTACTATTTTGTCATGTCATCAATGTTTTTAAAGTGACAGTTATATATTTGAGTATTCTTAGTTTTCAGAAGGATTGAGTCCCTCCAGTTTCCTAGCCAGCACAGCCAAAACAGAAATCCCTTTAGTGTCTACTCTAACAGAATATCATTTAATCCTATGCAGACTTCAAATTTATTATTTTATTATTAATAATTTGGAGGTTGCATAATATTTTATGCATCTATGCCAT